CGGCCTAGCTTGAATTCATTTCAGGTAGCTGTTTCCACTTATTGCATGAAGATTAAGTTCCCCGTAGGAAATGAAGTTGGAGAGGTGACTGGAGACCAACTGCAATCTCGGCGGTGTTATGAGGTCACATTGAAGACGGCCGAGGCACAGCATAAGAGGATGAAGGACGACCTGCCTGAGTGCTCCCACCGGGAGAAGAAACAAGAGCTAGGGATGAGCTCCGAAGGGATGCATTGGACCTGGTCGACGAGTTGCGTGACCAGGCTGGATTGAGGATGGCGGCTTACAAGCAGCGAATGAGGGCGGCCCACGACAAGTCAGTTCGAGCTCGACGATTCCAAGTGGGGGACCTGGTTTGGCGTCAGGCGGATGCCCTGAAGCATGTTGATAAGTTGGAACCGAACTGGGAGGGCCCTTATACTGTCGATAGGGTGTTCGCGGGGGGCGCCTATGAACTTCGCGATGTCAAGGGGCAGCTACTACCGCGATCGTGGAACATACCACATTTGAAGAAATATTATGCATAGCTGGAGACATGTTACATTTAATTGCTTTCAGTCGTTATTTCGTTATGTTTTAGTAAGACAAGTAATAAAGTTGCATGTGAAGTTTTTTCAGCTTAACTCTTGTTTGGTAACTCTTGTTTGGTATGGTATGCGTTAGGGCACCGGCTTGTGAGGTCTCGCCTAAGCTCGCGGAGCTGGATGATGACCTCTATAGGGCGAAAGCCTGGTATTCTCGCCTAAGCTCGCGGAGCTAGGCGACAATCTCTGTAGGGCGAAAGCCTGTTATTATCGCCTAAGCTTGCGGAGATGGGCGACGACCTCTGTAGGGCGAAAGCCTGGTAGTCTCTCCTAAGCTCGCGGAGCTAGGCGACGACCTCTGTAGGGCGAAAGCCTGTTATTCTCGCCTAAGCTTGCGGAGCTGGGCGACGACCTCTGTAGGGCGAAAGCCTGGTAGTCTCGCCTAAGCTCGCGGAGCTAGGCGACGACCTCTATAGGGCGAAGGCCTGTTAGTCTTGTCTAAGCTCGCGGAGCTAGGCGACGACCTATGTAGAGCGAAAGCCTGTTAGTCTCGCTTCAGCTCGCAGAGCTAGGCGACGACCTCTGTAGGGCGAAAGCCTGTTAGTCTCGCCTAAGCTCGCGGAGCTGGCCGACGACCTCTATAGGGCGAAAGACTGTTAGTCCTACCTAAGCTCGCCGAGGTGGCCGACGACCTCTATGGTTGATGAGGCCATTGCGTGAAGGAGGGCACACGAGTCTTGAAGGACTTAGCAATAATTGTGCTAGGTGCAAAAGCCCGTTGTCACGATGCTAAGTGTTTACAAGACTTGGTGAATGAGGCTCGTCACGAGAAGAGGAGTATGGTTACTTGTGTAGTAATGAATTATATAGGCACGAGCAATTGAAACAAGTACGCGATAAAATGTAAAGCGTTGCATTACAACATAGTGCATGGAACATATGAAGGCATACGACTAAATGGGTTTGAAATTACATGCCAAAATAACAAAGTTCGACCTCTCTACTTCAAACAAAAGGAAATCACATGAAATCTGTGGAGGGGGCGCGACGCCCTCTTACTCGGGGATCTTCTCCACCTCATCTGCAGCAGCCTTCGTAGCGGTCTCTAGGGCTGCCTCCCACCAAGGATGGGTCACTGGGAGAGACTCATCGTTGTTCCACCCCATGGGGTTAAGAAGGCCTCTACGTAGCTGGCCCTCATCCACGAAGATGGTGAAGCCTTGGGTCGTCACCTTGGCGTGGTCGTCACCTCGGCGTGGTCGTCACGCGTGGTAGGTCGTCGCGCGTGGAAGGTTATCACCCCGGCGTGGTCATCACTTCGGTGTGGTCTTCACGCACGGCAGGTCGGCATCTCAAGGGGTGGTCGCATCGCGATCGGCGGCAGGACGGCGCACCCCGGTGGTCGGTACACCTTGGTGGTCGGCACACATCGGTGGTCGGCAGGTCGGCATCTCAGCGTGTTGGTCGGCGGCATGGGCTAGATAGGTCGACATCGTAGGACGAGCATGTTGGCACCTCGGCAGGTCGTCACCTCGGCGTGGTCGACATTCACGTGCAGCTCGGCATCGAGCGTGAGCAGCTCGATGTTGGCACCTCAGCGGTTCGGCGGGGTGTACGGTGTTTGGCGCGCGAGCTCGCGTGGTGATGAGAGGGTTTGGGATAGGTAGGCACAATGCTTCTTATGGTGCGTTTAATTTTTCCATTCCTTACGACAAGCTCAACTTGTCTAAGGAAATGGGAAAGCACCACCATGTGCGATGGGCTCGGCATCGGTGAGCGTACCCCAGCTCTACATGGTGGTCGGCTCGGCATAGGGGCAGGTCGTCACTAGCAGGTCGTCACACGGGAGGTTGTCTCCTCGGTGTGGTCGTCACGCATGGTAGGTCGTCACTCGGTGTGGTCGTCAAGCATGGTAGGTCGTCACCTCGGTGTGGTCGTCATGCGGGGTAGGTCGGCGCACGGGAAGGTCGTCGTGCGCGACGGGTGGTCGGCATCTTGGCAGGTCGCCGCATAGACTTCAGTGTCGTGGAGGTCGTCACCATGCGGTGGGAGTCACCCCGGCGTGGTCGTCGCCTCGGCAGGTTGTCACCTGATGGGCACCGCGGGAGGTCTTCACCAGCGGGAGGTCGTCGCGCGGGAGGTCGGCGCTGCAGGTGGTCGGTATCTCAGCAGGACAGCTCGTCGGCTTGGCAGGGTAGTGTGGGCAGCTCGGCGTCGCAATCAGCTCGGCATCTTCACTTCTGCTCGGCGGCGGAGTGAGTAGCCCGACGTCGGCGTCCTGTGGAGAGCTTGGCGTCGGATCCTCGGCAGGCCAGCTCGTCAGCTCGTCGGCTCGGCGGAGCGGAGTGAGCAGCCCGGTGTCGACGTTGAGGGCCGGCAGCTCAGCGTACGACCACCTCGGCAGGTCACGGCTCGACAGATCGGCGGATCCTCGACAGCTCGGCAGGTCCTCGGCATCTCCACTTTGGCTCGGCGGCGGGGAGCTCGGCGTTGGCTCCTCGGTAGCTTGGCATCTCGGGGAGCTTGGCGTTGGCTCCTCGGTAGGTCGGCAACGATAGCAGCTCGGCGTCGCGATGTGGCCAACGGCTCGGCATCCTCAGCTCGTCGCGGCCAGCTCGACATCACTCGCCATATCTCGGCATGGTGTACAGCTCGGCGGGCGGCCTGTTGGCTCGACAGGGCGGCGTGAGCTCACGCGTCGGCGCACTCCATCGGCTCGGCGTCGACATTGAGGGTTGTCAGCCCGGCGTCTATATACTAGTAGCTCGGCGCTGTTTGCTCGGCATCCTCACACCGGCTCTGCGGTGGTAAGAGAATTTGAATGAGGTAGGCGCAGTTGAGGTGGACACTGGATAATTGTCCCAACCTAAGGCGCGAGTACTTTCTTTGGTGTGTAATTTTTAGATTCCTTAGGACCAGCTCCGATGACTTGTCTAAGGAATGGGAGGGCTAGATGATACAGCCATGAGTAGTGGTTCATAAGGGACCGACCATAGGCCGAATTTAGTGGCAGTTAGGCGTGGTCGCTTCATGGGTGAGGGAGCTCGGCATGGGCGTCCATGGTGCCTCTGGTGGATGGGAGCTAGGCGTAGTCCAGTCAGCTAGGCGTGATTTAACCAGCTAGGCGTGGTTCAACCAGCTAGGCGGAGGTTAGCTCGGCGTGGGTTAGGTGGAATACCTAAGGTTGGTCACCTAGGCGGAATATATAAGGTGATCACCTAGGAACCTCGACATTTGGGAGGCTCGGCCAGAGGGTTCGTCGCCGAGGGGACCAGAGCCTGGAGGTGGCTTCGTGGTCAAGGCACAAAGAAGTTGTGGTGATGAGGACTCTAAGTTTTGGATATGTCTGACCCAGATTAGAGATACACACGAGGAAGACTTCTAGATCGATAAGAACTCTTCGACCCGTACATGACCTCACCTATAAAAGGGAACAGGTTCATTCATTTTACACAACACACATACACTCGTTACATTGTTACTCTGCCGTTTTCTCTCGGATACATCACTGACTTGAGCGTCGGAGTGTCCGCGCCGGGACCACCCCCGGCGTGTTTTGCAGGTACCGACGATCAAGGAGGCTCAACCCAGTTCAAAAGGAGCGGTCGAGCAGTTCAAGTATTTGTGGTACAACAATGGTGTTAATCAACGTTTAAGTCTAAAAAATTAGGAATTCTTACCTCTTTTAATCAACGTTTAAGTCTAAAAAACAATAGAGTTATTATAAGTTTTTTTTCTATATCTTTTAAAAGATTAAATATGAGCATGTTAGGGCTAGCTTGTAAAATAATTAATATATTATCTCACTAAAACATTTATACTAATAAAAATTTAGTTTTAACATATAAATTTATCCCTTGATATAAGAGAAAGTAACAGTTTTACTTATTGTTGTTCACCATATAATATTTAATTATTATTTTATTATATAATAAAAAAGAAATATTGTTAAATAGTGTAGTAGAATTGTTATAAAATTATATGAGTTTTTTTTTTACAATATGGATTTAATATTTTTTTATGATTTGATAATATAAACAAATCTATACTTAACTTTGACAAATAAAACAAATAAATACTTTAGGAAGTATTTAATGTATATACTAAATAGGAATATATTTGGTATAATCAAATACCAAATATAATCAAATAAGTCAAAGTGTACATTTTTATTTGGTATTTGATTTTTTTATTATTAATTTTTTTTTATTATACTTACCTTTTTAAAATAAAACAAATAAATAAATCAATTAAATAAATAAAATATTATAATACTAAAATAGTAATGACATTTAATGCAGTTGACTTTTTATATAAGTATAGATTGTATAATACGAAAATAGTAATACAATATATGTTGTTGACTTTTCTTTATACTAAATCTGGTAAATGGTATACCTTTTAATATAAGTATAGATTTTAACTAATTAGTATATATTAGTGGTATATCTACGGTAAAAATGTGTTAGGGATGATTGACTAGGTACTTTTCTCAAATTGGGGTCGAGGGGATGTCTTATTTGCAGCATTCCAAAATCGGGTAGAATCGAAGAACCCGAAACCTAATCAGTGTCCATAAACCCCTGGGTAGCTTCAAGAATCTACAGCTTTACCACTGGGCAAGCCAGTGAAAGTAGAGCTTTGAAGCTCGGAGAAACTGACAAAAAAAATTCCCTTTTCAAGAATTAGCGTACACATACTTTCTATTTTTCCCGACTTCGCAGTTCCCTTTTTCTGTACTCATCATTTCCCATTTCGCTGAAAAAAATGCGAGCTTTTTCCGCTTTTGGCCCCCTTTTATTTTTCTCGAGGGGTCTGTTGTCGGAGTTTTTATCGGGGTTCCTCTGGGTTTGACATGTTTAATTCCAGTCACTTAATTCTTTATTTGGTAAAGCCTACTTCATTTTTCTTGTAGTCACTGTTGTGTTTATTAAGCTAATGTATGTTGCAGTTTTCTTTTGTTTGTTTCAATTTGCATTTTTTTTTTTGTATGTTGAAGTCACTGTTTTGTTTAACTCTTTTGTTTATGAGGCTGCTGATTTTATTATGATCCTGCTGCTACGGTGAGCATGTTTATTGGGTATTTTATATTTATTTATGAATTTCTTACCCACATAATGTTTGCATGCAAAATAGAGCAATTCTCAGTTGGATGTTTTGTGAAACAAATGGAAAAAAGGTGGAAATGCAAATGGCAATTTGCATGTTGTGTTTAACTTACCATTGATTATTAGGGATTTGGGAGAATGGATACATGGCACATAGTGGGATTAGATCTATCGATCTAATAAGAGAGATATATAATTGCAGAGTTGCGGTGATTTAATTTAGAATTGAGGATGGTATGCCATAGACCCATGTTATTTTTGTCATATAGAAGTTAATTAAATTCGCTTCGTGTCAAAGGACTTTTTTCATTGTTATAATTTGGAGTTCTGATCAAGGTGCTCTTGATCAAGTTACTCTTTCTCCTAATGATTAGGCTGGCCTAACACAAGACCTATTGTTGCTATATTAATATAAATTATCTGCTTGAAGATCCCTACACTGTTCTACTGGATCCTGGTCAACATGAAAATTATTAGTGTAACTATGTTCCATCAGCAATGTGGTTGTTAAAGGAGATATTTTTTGCATATAATTTAAAAGCAATACACTGAAGACACTGCACTTTGTTCGAAGTGTGAAGAACTACATGTCATGAATAAATAAGAACTTGCATTAAGGTATAAGTATAAACTATAGTATGGACTCATGGTGGCTTAGATTAGGCTGATCCAACTAATATTTCATTCTGTTTTTAAATTTTTCCTGTTCTATTTTGTCGCAGAATTTTACAAGTCTCAACACCAAGACAGACTTCTAGCTGGCAGAGGCTATATTGTGTACACATTCACCTGTCTAGCTTCCCCATTCTTACTTAGTATCTCTTCTCTTATACCACTGTGAGAACATGGACGATAATTTTTGGGTGGAGGAATTTAGTGGACAAGCATCTGTTTGTACGAAAAGGAAGAGAAGAATTGGGAAAAAGAAGATTGAGTTCATAGGCTGGGCTTCTAGGCCGTTGATTGAATTTCTTCAAGTTATCGGCAAGGATACAACAGTAAAACATACTCAACGTGAGGTGGAAGCATTTATCACGGCTTATGTTAACGACAAGCGTCTTGCAAGTGCAGAAAAGAAGAAGAAAATCTTGTGTGACGAAACCCTTTATGCTCTTTTTGGGAAGAAATCCATGCTCCGGACCAAAATATATGACCTGCTCGAAGACCATTTTGCTGAAAATCACGATGAGACAGATGATGAACTTGACAGCTCAGATGAGGAAGACTGTGCAAGAAAATCAGTCTCCAAAAGGAACCTGACTTGTCAGATGAAGGTTTTCAAGTCTCCCAAGAGCTGCTTTGCTGCTGTTGTTCGTGAAAATATCAAACTCGTTTATCTGAAGAGGAGCTTGATTGAGAAACTTCTCAAGGAGCCCGAAAGCTTCGAGTTTAAAATGGTGGGAAGCTTTGTTAGGATGAAATCTGATCCTAACGACATTTATCAGAAGAATCCCTTTCAGCTTCAGCAAGTCACGGGTAAATCATTGTGCATGATTTCCATTTACTGTTGAGTGCCAAATGTTGCTATTTTTTTTGCTTCACTAAGCCTAAAAAATAGCTATTGTGTGTTGTTTTCTAGTGAGTCGTAATACATCTTAGTTGAGTAATCGAGAATAGATTTTTACTTTGGGAGTGAGAAGTTTCATCAGAATTGAGAAAGGGCTAATATCACTAGAATTTTTAAGTAAAATTGTACGAGGTCTAAAAGTGATCGGGCATGCTAGCTGTCTTCTTGATGATTTTATTTAGTTCTGAACTAAACTAGATGCACTGCAACTTTAGAGTTTTTCATGTGAAGATCATCGGTTACTTGGTGCAGAGACTAGTTTTTTTAGATGTTTTCAGAATGAGCAGAACTGATAATTTAATATTTAGAGCTGTGCAGCCTTTTCATATAGTGATTATTATTGCTGTAAAAGTGCCGATACTAGTTGTGTCCATGCCTTTGCTATAATCAAATTATTAAGATGCTGAAGATTTCAGTATAGATGTGAAAGCATCTAGGATTTTTTTTTTGCTCCAGCTAATGGTTATCTGATTTTTCTGGCTAACAATATTTAAAGAACTAAGAAAGACTTACTTCCTCAGTTTTCCCTTCCTCTTTCTTGCTTTCATGATTTTGGCTTACATTTCCATTTACGTTGGTAATTGCATCTTTTAACTGGTTTCATTATCAGGTGTAGAAAAGGTTCCTGGTGCTGGTGATGCTGTTTCTGAAATTCGCCTGAAGGTTTCCAATTTTTTTAAGGAAATCCCTGTTTCCATGCTGTCAGATGAAAACTTTTCAGAGGTTATTATTCATCTAAACCTAATCATTCTAGAGGTGATATAGCCAGATATGGCAAGTCGTTTTGAAGCACTGATGATAGATTTGATGGTCCCAGCACTCACTCACTTTTATAGGAAAGTTGCTTTGTTGTGTTTGATTAATATAGGTAAACTTAATTTGGTTTAATACAATGTCAAATTAATTATGGACTTGTGAAAACTAAATGTGATTACTACCTCAGTAAAGTGATTGCCCTACACTATCTGGATATACAGAATTTTAAGAATTCAAATAACCATCCATTGTTCAGATCTCGATTTTCGGAGACATAAAAGGAATAGACTAAAACAGCAGATTTTTTTTCTTGTTTTGTTTGTGTTTTTCTATGTTATGACTACTCGTGAGTTATTTTCTTAGTCCATTAATTACGTTAAAACACAAACTTGCAGAATCATTGCCTTTCTGCCATACATCTTTATGAAAAGTAAAAATGAACTACATGTGATCCTCATTTTGGCAATATAGATATATGTTATTGACTTGCTATATTGAGTAATTTAGATTTAGGTGCCGACTGTGACATTTGACTTGTTGTGTGCCCAACTTCATGTCATTTTATTTGGATTGCCATCTCATTATTGCTTTTATTTTAGGAAGAAATCGAAGATGTAAGGGACAGAGTTAAAGCTGGATCTCTGAAAAGGCCGACTGTTGTAAGACTTTCTACCTATAATTTTTTTTGCTTGATGTGTGTGTTTTATCTTGATAAGTTTGTTACTGCAACTTCATATATGGTGAATATAATGTGGATCAGGGCCTGTTTGTAATTGGCTAGTGAAATATTATTTTATTATTTAGAAAAATGTAACTTTTATGGTTCTAAAGTGTCGGTGAGTCATAATATATAAGTGGAATGCAATATTGACTACATATAGGTTTAAATAAAAGCTTCAATTGCTTTAGTGAGGCATCCTTTTGTCATACCATGAAATACATTTACTTTTGTCCAAGTATTGTTTACTCTACCAAAATTAAGTATCTTGGTTGCGGAGCTGCAGTCCACATTAAGCTGCAGAAGGAATTAGATAACAGAAGAAAATTTCGTGCTGAAAAGCTGTTCTTATCGACAGAATTATTATTATTACTTACATGTTAAATCTATTTACCGGTTCCTTTCATATTTATGCATGGTGCTGATAACAGAAAATATGAGGACATATGTATTTGTTGTGTTCTTCAAGTCTCTGTACTGTGGATTGCAATTGATGAAAATTTTCTTTCTTTGTTGTTCGTTGTTTACCATTTCATTAGTGATGATCATGCACATGATCTTATAGCAATCAGTTATTGGTTGATTCACTATCCAGAGGTTTCTACTAACAATTTGTTAAGAGTTTTAACAATCTATTCTGATAAAATAAATATATTTTTCAATTAGTTACAATTTTTCATTATTACTATTTTGCAATCGTCAATATTTCCAATATAAATCATGGGTTGATAAAATTGGCAGAAAGAGCTTGAAGTGAAGGCTAAAATACTGCATGCTGATATAACGAATCATGTAAGTTGTATTTTCTTCTCTCTCTCTCTCTCTCTCTCTCTCTCTCTCTCTCTCTCTCTAGCTTTACTTCATTCCATCTTATCTGAAGTTGCACTTCTTCATAGAGTCTGATTACCAAAATTTATCTATTTCTATAAGCATATAATATTAGAATGAAAAAACTATACATTTGGCAATGCATGTGTTGTCAACTTGTGATGATCCATTATTGTGTATTTGATGGAACTTCAACTATTGGGAAGAGTGCCTGAAATTGGCATCATACACACTTAGATTATCCTGAACCTTTTCCATATCTTATATTCAGTTATTATCAGTATGAACTCCTGCTATTTTTAGACAACGAGATTCAGCTGAACCTCGTATTTTCCAAATGACTTTCAACTCCTAAAGGGATGAGCAATTTTATTTAAATGCCATTGCTTTCAATACAGAAACATGTAAAGTTCCATGTCCATCAGTCTGAAAAGAACCATTATTTGTACTGGCATGGATATAACTCCAGCTGGCGTAGAAGTTCTATTATTTGGAATTTTTTGTGAGAATTCGGGCTGATGTCAATCTTTGTTCTAACTGTTATGTCCTTTCACGTTACAGTGGATTGGAAGAGAACTTTCTTTGTTACAGGGTAAAATTGATCGAGCCAATGAAAAAGGATGGCGTAGAGAATATCCTTTCAGATAGTAATATGAGATTTGTCTGCCTATGTATATATGTGTGTGTGTTCTCCAATTACTGCATTTTTCTGATTCAGGCTTTCAGTTTGTCTACTTAATTCCCTGTAGATACATTGTTTGACTATATAGATAGAAGAAAGTTGCTAAACACACCATCCGAACGAGAGAAGTTACTCCTTAAAATTCCTGAAGTGATTGCTGAGGAATTAGAGCCCGAAGTTAAGAAAACAGTTACTTCCGAGAAAGCGGACGGATCTCCAAAGTCTATTCTTAGGATGAATTCAGATGCTTCCAAGACAGATACTTCAGGTGCGCTTTTGTCTTATGTACCGTAGAGGTGCTAAAAATGTACAATGTCACGTGAATTGTTAAGCAATTATTATTGTCCATATTTCGTAGCATGTGATAATTAGATTTTTAGTATATTAGCACACTGTATGGTATTTTTTGGTTTGTAGCATCTAATGGATCGTCCAGAATTATGGGCAGAACAAGTTGTTAAGTACAAAATAAGATTGTATTTTGGGAGATGGGGATGAGGGTGGGACCCAATTAGATCTAGATTTTTGAGAAAATTATAGTTGTAAAAATTAGAAAGAGAAAGTACAAAGTATGTGCCTCCATTGTTGTTACAATACAACAGCACCATATAAAATTTTTAAGGTATATAGAAACCCATGTAGATTTGTGATTGTAGAATAGACATAGCTCACTTCTCCTTGCTTGACGTGAATAGTTTAAATCTTCATGGAATAATCTCTGGGAAGTTGCAGAAGACAGTAAGTAAAGATATGGTCTGCATTTTTTGAATCCCCACTTTTTTGCCATTAGCTTTCTTTAAACCTTGCCGTTTGAAATGCTTCATGTAGTTGTATTCCGCTTTCCTTCTCGAAACTAAATTTTCATAGACTTTCGAGCTTTGAATAAATCAACAGTGTCTTGATCTGCATCCATGCCCAACTTCTTAGTGATCACGAGATTCTTCTAATTTTTTTTTTTGGTAGTCATTTTGCGAGTATTGTTGCAGAAAACCAAGCTTTGGTTAGTTATGCTGCTTTTTAAAGTCTAAATAAATACTTGTAATGTTTACCATTATTTTGCAGGGTCCAGAAGCATTGTGGTCCCAGCCATTCTCACAGGTAAAGCACAAATTGGAGGCGTTGACACCATTTTGCCAGTCAACAACCCAAATGGTAAAAAAACTTCCCCATTTCTGGTAATTTAAACAACTAGTTATTTTCATACCTGTCTTATTATTAGTATATTAAATAAATAAAATACTGATCCAGATGCAGTCGATGAAGCAGCAGCCAATATTGAACAAGCAATGCCGGTTTTGAATTTGTTGAATGATGGGAAAACCAAGGGCCCTATGGAGAAACAAACACAGTTAGCGACTAGTGATAATTTAACTGTGATTGACCTGAGTGAAGATGAGGACTATAATAATAATAATAATAATGTGCGTGAAAGTGAAAGGGCAGAGGATGTTATATGGCACTATTTTGATCCACAGGGGCAAGTGCAGGGCCCGTTTTCGCTCTACTCTTTGAAAAGATGGAGTGACCACAACTACTTTCATTCAGGTTTCAGGGTTTGGAAAAGCGGTCAGACACAGAATGAGAGTGTTCTATTGGTAGATGTTCTCAGCCGCACCTTTGGAAATTGGGAGTGAGTAGTGTAATGGTTTGCACATTTTTAACTTTGTATATGACTACAGGTGTTTTTAGCAAAATAAAGAGTTATGCAATATTTCCATTCAAACAAAATTATAAAGGTATGAGAATGATTTGTTATTCGAATTGATGAACATTAATTTTGTACTTTGAGTTGATTTTAATTGAAAGGTGTGAGAATTGTGGGAGAGTAATATGTTATGCTATTTCTGTTGTTGTGATACTATTTTGAATATGATATGGTGTTACAAGTGGAAATTGGTCTAAATATTAAATAACATTTTCCACAACATTAATTGTTTAATTGACTTGGGCTCCCAGATTTAAATTAATCTTAATTCAAAATAATATTAAATATGCAATTACAAATACAAATACACTTATTATACGAATTTTCATTCAAATTTGCATATTATACGAATTTTCATTCAAATTTGCAAAAATTGGACTTTGAAGTCTGAAGTATGTTAGTTTAACATTTTTTCATCAAAGTTTGAACTCATCACAGATTTTTTCTCTTTTTACTCTACCTACAAGCTACAACTCCTTTCAAATAACAAAATAGAATTTGATAAGTGAATTGTTATTTACCGCCCCTTTGCACCAAAATATCCTTCTCATTTTTTTAAAAACAATTCTCTATCTCTCTCTCTCTCTGGCCACTGCCTTGACGCCCCCTAAATCAATTTCGAAAAAATGGAAAATCGTTGCCACGATTGAGGCAAAGGTCTCATGATTCCTCTAGTATGTTTTTTTTATTAGTAAATAACTTTTTAAATTTTTCTAAGTTTTTAGCCGGCAGGCGCAGGCGTGCGGCCGCACCGAACCCTAGACGGCCGACATCGAAGGCCGGGCGCACCCTATGCGGCCGCCACCGTTGGCCGGCCACACCGAAGACGGCCTGCATCGTTGTCTGATCAGCCCGATTGATTTTTTTTTTTTTTAATAATTAAAATTATTTAAATATGCTTAAATATTTAAAAATAGAATTGAATTAATTTTTTGATTTGGGTTAATTCAGATAAGTTTTGGTTTGGTAGTTATTAATAATATTTTACTTAAATAATAGTTAAATGTAATTATATTAAAATTGTGATAATAATACTTTTTAATAATGTTAATTATTAATAGTACAATGCATCCAACTTTAGTATTTTTAGGAAACGAATTAGTTGTAATATATGTAATAAAATAGTTTACTGAGTAATTATTAGTTTCAAAATTTATAATTAGTATTCTAATATAAGTTAAAAAAAATTGTATAATTTTTTAATTAATTAGATTTATAAATATATAATAAAAAAGTAGAATTATATTAATTATGTGGTTACGAATAATTAGTATATTTTTTTTAAAAAATTTATAGGAAAATAATTATTTATAATATTTAATTATGTATTTTAGGAAATAGTAATAATTATAATATTAATTATAATTAGTTTACATAAATATTAATAATAAATAGTTAACTGTAACTATTTTATAATAATAAATAAAACATAAAAATTTTAAAAAGTTGTTTACTAACTATTAGTTTAAATTATTGATTTAGACTGGTAGTAGACCTGCGCGATCGGCCATCGATAGAGAGGCTACCGAGTTTTATGATTATGGACCCTGACACACGAAGAGTCGGTATGACGATGCTTCCGCTCGTCGGGCGAGAGAAGCTGAGATGCTGCGTCAGATTCGCATGAGACAGTCTGGTCACACTGACCAGGCTGGCGGTTCTAGATGCCTCGCTTCAGTACATATCGGTCTGTTGTCCCGCTTCCGGCAGCGGGATGATTATTATGAGTCGTCAGCCGAGAGGCTGCAGTTCTCAAAGGATTCTGAGGACTTTGAGTCTGCAGATGACCAGGACATTCCTCCTCCACGACAGGCTCCTGCACGACCTGTACATCCACGTGTTGGAGGCTGTTTTGCAAGCACTGGATCCTCAGGTAAATAATTTACGTAATTATTATTGTTTACAATTAAACGTTTTTATTTAATAATAACATATCATTGATACAGCCAGTCACAATATCTCATATATAGACGTGGCCAACAGCCGTGCCGGTTCAAGGACCGGCCTGGCTCGCCGAGTGGCGGGCCTCTAATGCTGGGCCCGTAACCGGCCTGGCAATTCCTATGGTCTGGTCCTTTGAACCGGCCCTGAATCGGCGGTTTCAACCAGTTACGGGCAGGTTCCGTGTAACGCCCCGTTTTATTTTAAAGAATTTACCGAATTTATTTAATAAAAATCAGAGTTATTTTTTTTTTTTTAAATCCAACTTAAAACATTTATCGAGAAACGGGCGCTACTTATTAACCACAACAAATAAACACACTCAATCAAACAATCCAATGAACCTACACATGCTCGAGCTATGAAACTGACAATCTCATAAATCATGAATTTCAAAATCATTCCCGAACGACTAGCAGGAAATCCCGGTTCAAACGAAATTCAAACATAGTTCGAAGGCAAATAAATAAATAAACCAAAGTATTTGAAAGCAAATGAAATAAGTAACAAGTTCATGCATAACACATAATCAATATACAAAATCAAGCAGAGATATAAACACATACTAAAATATCCAAATCCAAGCGGGAAAATAAATCATGTCAAGTTTCAGCTCAACAAATCATAAACAGGCGGAAGCATAATATAGCGATAACATAATTTGACCAACGACCATCCTCTCGCTCGTCTTTACGCCACCGCCACCAACTCAGCTCAACCTAAAGAAAGGAAGAGGAGACAACAACAGAAAAACAATGGGGGTGAGCAACCAACAAGCTCACCATTATCGCACAGTTATCCCGTATAATTATTTTAAAAGCAGTATCACGATAAAAACAGTTTCAACATCGGTATGCACAGAATTCAAAGCCTAAACCCCCTACCCAGCCCTATCGCAAACCTCCTATGTACATACAACAACCTTCCGGATACAACGGCATGGCTGTAACTGGAAACATTCCCACCCCCGGGTACAACGGTTCGCAGGATCCTTTCCAGGAGACAGCAGAGATGTTTTTCCCCTTCCGGATACAACGGCATGGGGCGTCCCTCCCGGATACAACGGGCAGGCGACGTCCTACTGTTTTCGCATTCATCAAGGCACTAGCGTTCGGGACACTTAGACTAGAGTTCTCATGCATACAAAAATTTTCAAAGAAAATATTACACGAAATAAGGAAGTGCGATAAATATGGAATACATCATAAATGTACCCACCTGATAGCAGCAACAGTTCACAGAATCACAATTCCAGAAACGAGGCGAGGTCAACACCTCCAAACACCTACATTATGACAAGATCCTACAATCAGAATCTATCTCGTCTTGAATCGGAAATCACAAGACAGACCGAGTCGAACTCGTTTCGACTAAGTAGTTCGTGAAGTCCTGTGGATGTTGGAACGCTAAGACTCGGCACTAAACTCGACCAAAACACGCAAGGGAGTTCACACAAATCCATCTAAGGATTGACCAAGTCAAACACACATAAAAACCAAAAAGCAAGTCGATTTCCAAATTTCATATAACAATCATGTTCGAAAATAGAAATCATTTAATCGCATGAAAATAGAACGTCAAGCTCCCCTACGAATTAAGCTCTGAAAATTTACACAAAATTTCATCTTCCAGAAACATGAAATATCACAAAGTTTCAGCTTTAAACTCAAGATACCCTATTTTATAAAATTCGAACAACATATCAGCAAAATGGGCACGTTAATTCATACTCAGACTTAATGAATGAATCTGATCTTGAAAATTTTACACAAGAACATACAGTATGCCAAAGTCCATTTGTAAAAATCTCAGCCTTAAATGATAACTGCTGCTATTTTTAAAAATCCAAACGAGCAACAGCAGTTTATCGAATTTAAACCCAAACTGAATCAAAACGGACTCCAAAAATTCCCATATTTTACAAACATGACCAAACACATAAAATAGGCTTCTCAGTAAAATTTCAGAATTTTCCAAGAATTAACCAATTTATAAAAATTCAAACAACGTTTCTGCAGATTCGATAAATAAAATATTAACCACATCAAATCAACTCCAAAAATTCTAAAAATTTAACACAACACATATAGGTCACAGAGACATGACATATTCGAATTTCAGCTCATTCCAGTCAGGCAAGAATTTTTTATGCATTGAACAATATTCTGGACAAATTACAATTTAATTATTAAAAATAGCTATAGGCCTCCAAAAATTACAAAAATTTTACACAAGGCAGACAATGAACAGATAACACATCCCTCAAAATTTCACATCGTTTCGAGCAGCGAGCTATTTTTAAAAATTCGAACACCGAAACAGCAATTTACAAGCTCGACAACTTCGCATTTAATTCACAACATAAAATTTCTCGTCCGAGGCCTTTTCATAAGACCAAGGACTCGACATTGTTCCAATATCCACCGACTTACACGACTTTCGAGGTCTCGTTCGATTTTTGAGAAATCGAAGAGATCCCGAACATGCGAACACATACAATCGCAACAATTCGTATATTTGCACATATTCACTTAATAAATCACATCATACATAACACGAGCACTTCACGAACATGAACAATTCGACGAAACACGTAAACACAACCGATCATAACACTGTTCACGAGATACCGAACGAATAGACGTAACATATATGCACGATATATATATATATGACATCAACAAGTTATATACACATACGCATAAAATCACAAGACATGTAAAATAATGCGTCCCATCGCCATGAACCTCAAATCCTACATAATACGCGCTAAATATAAAGAGGGTTCAAGCCTTATACCTCCTTCGAGATTTAACGAGAAACGGATGAAGGAGTTCAGAGAAAACGGGCTCGGCTACTCGCTGAATATCTCCCGGCTCGCTCTCGGCCATCAATTTTTCACGCACGGCCGCTGCTGCTGCTGTTCGGGCCTGGACGAAGGCCGACGGGGTGCCGTTGAATTTGCTCGCACGGGCCGAACCGGCCCCTGCTCGACGGGCAGGTTGCAGGTTCACGGCAGGGAGGCGGGTCATTTGCGCGACGAGGATGACGTTGATTGGAGGGAGACGAGCGGCGACACTCAAAACTGAGGGAGAGGAGAGGTCGTCGGGCCTCCTCACGGACAACGTTGATGTCTCGGCTTCAGCGACGGAGGAGAAGGGTCGCCGGTGATGGAGGGAAATACTCGCCGGAGTGAAGGTTTT